TCTATAAAAACTATGTTGTACAACGTCAAATCACAGTAACCAATATTCTTATGAACATTGACTTTTTTTATGTTGTCTCAGGAATAATAATCTGCCAAATTTTTCTGTAATTATTTTATAATATTAATATAATTATTATAATTAGAATATTATTCATTATTATGTGTACCTAGGGAGTATTTAAGTGAAATATGGACGGTTGAAAAACGATAAATTATTATTATTATTTTTAGTTGCTACTTAAATGTATAAATAAACAATGTAAATTGAAAGGTTACAAATATCATAAAAAAATTGAATTAATTGGCCTCAAGAGATAGAATCCGCAACCTTTCATAGCGCATTGCAAAATAAAAAAGAGGGTCGCCAACCCACTGGGCGAGACAAAGTATTGTCGGACTATAGTAGGATTTTAAAAAAAATGTACTTTAAAAACAATTTAAGATAAAAAAAAAATAGAAAACTAATAAAGGTTGATGTCCGTTGAGTCGTTATAGTTGATGTACACCAAAAACTCGTGACAATTATCACATAACCATGATGATCAGGGATGACCTTAGACAAAGCCGTTGCCTGTACCTTATAAACTAGGGGGAGTTGATTTTCGAATGAAAAAATGTACAAAATACAAGAGTCCATTGAAGATGGACACATAAAAAAAAATAAGATGATAGTTAAGTTAAATTAAAAGAACTTTATTAGGTAATAAAAAATAATAAATATAGTTTAAAAAAACTAAAAAAACACGCTTTTAAAGCACATTGAACTAAAAAAATAAAAATAATTTCTAAAATAAGTTTAAAATAATGAACGAAAAATACTAGTATTATTGTGATAAAAGCGTCGGGCGCTCAATATACAAAAAATATGGCACAAAGCACCCACGCTTTTATCACAATAATACTAGTATTTTTCGTTCATAATTATTTTAAAAATTATTTTTAAATTTTTAGTTCAATGTGCATTAAAAACGTGTTTTTTTAAACTATATTTATTTTTCACTTTTTAGTTTCATGTTATGATAGTAGTTACTATCAATATCATGGTTGTAACGGGTAACGGGAAATCAGGGTTCGATTCCGGGGAGGGTGTCTGAGAAACGGCTGCCACATCCAAGGAAAGCAGCAGGCGCGTAAATTACTCACTCCTGGAACGTGGAGGTAGTGACGAAAAATGACGATACGGAAATCATCCCTCGTAATCGGAATGAATACTTTATATCTCTTAATTAGAATAAATCGTGTTAATATATTAATTTTAATAGTAATTAGAATATATATATTTATACANAAAGTTCAATTGATGTATTAAAAATAGATGTATACATAATAGTATTTAAATAAGCACAATAATTATGTTATACTATAATGTAACATATAAAATAACAGAGAATTATTCTCAATTTTCATTTTGACTGAGTTTAATTTGCTTGCTGTGTTACGGTTAGCAAATTAGAAAAAAAAGTATATTAATAGTACTGAATATTAAACAGTATTAAATACTAAATAATTGTATTTAAAATACTACTCAGATACTTTTTATTAAATGTATTTAAAAATACTATTCAATACCAATGAAAGTATTTGAATACTTTTATTCAAATACATTTACTCAAATGCTTTACGCCTTTGATGTTATATGTAATATTATATTATTATGTAATATCGGAAATACCGAGATACCGAAATATCGAGTATATCGAAATTACCGTATCCAAATACCGGTTTAACGATATTTTCGGTATACCGATTCATACCGGTAAAAAATATCATACCGAAATATCGATATTAAAAAAAAATACCGTCACCTCTACGTAAGCCGTATGCACGCGGATCATAATGGTCAGTCAAAATAAAAATTTGTTTATATATATATAATATTGATGACACGCACGTGTGTACGGGTACGATAACCAAAAATAAATTTATACAGGAATACTATTGCCGGCGTGTGATAAGCGTGGCGTGTGGTGGGGTGGGGTGAATGCGTTATGACAGTCTAGTCTAGACGATGGAATATGCGATAACGCGAGGCTTTTGGAGAGTTACAAACATACATACATACATACATACAGGTGAAACTAATATAAGCGTGTTAAAAAAAAAAATTAAGTTAATACGAGGCAAAAAACCGAACGGTCAAATACCTTAGTGAAAAGTTTTATAAAATTTATTACTCAATATTTGTTATTATTGATTTATTAGAGTTACAATAATTTAATAGTAAGTAGTTGTAATAGTATTAAATACACTTAGTAATACAACGTCGGAACTACGTCTAATTATTATTAATAATATTGACCCAAATATGCACGAGTCAAGTGCATATTTATATATGTGCTGGATCAGCATGACATGACTTGTGCAATAGTTCATAACATTTATAACTTTAGCTGATCAAACAACTTTTTACAGGTATGACTACCAATAGCAAAATATCTGAAGACTTTTGGATGAAAAATACAAAAGATATAACTAAATTGAAGTGAGTCTGTTATAGAGTGCAAAAATGTTAAATAGGATATGTAGCCGTTCTTAACACATATAGATATAATAAACGGTAGCACAGTGTGGACGAGGCATAGATGGGACAAGTATAGATAATATCTGACAGTGATTAAAATCACTATCATAAGAAACGCTTCGATGCAAATCTGTAGATAGTGTTTCATTTAGAGAAATTGGTGAAATATTTCAAAAGTAACATCAAGTCTTATTTCTTTGATTATATCCTAATTAGTAGTTCTTTGATTTTAAAATATATTATATGAATAAATGTGGGAAATGCAAACAGGCAATTACAGGAACAGAGCGAAGACGCAATACTATTATTTAATTTATATATATAACTCTATATAAAATATTCACACAACACAAAAATATTATATAAAACAGAACACACATATATAATAATGAATATACATAGAGACACGTCTTAGCCGAATCACGACTTGACTTAATTTTCCCTTCTTATAGTACTTGATACCACTATCTATCTCCAGACCCTGGAAGTGGTGCCATCTAGATACCAATGGTACCCACATAAATACTAATTATAGTTTTTAAATTTAGTATGAAATTGTGAGGCCAGCTATGATGTATGGTTCATAGTGTTGGGCGGTTGATAAGAAAGTAGAGCAGAGAATAAGTATAATAGAGATGAGAATGCTTAGTTGGATGAGTGGAGTGAATAGAGAAGATAGGATAAGGAACGAGCATATAAGTGGAAGTATAGGTGTTGCGTAAATCGTGGATAAGATGACAGAAAATAGACTTAGATTGTTTAGTCATGTTATGAGGAGAGAAGAATCGGAAGCTGTAAGAACAGTTATAGAAATGAATGTTGAAGGAAGAAGAGATAGAGGAAGACCAAAACAGAGATGGCGGGATGCTATTAAATGCGATTTGAGATCAGCTGATGTGAGCGTAGAAGAAGTGGGAGATCGTGTCAAGTGGAAGCTTAGGATAAGAGTGGCCTACCCCAAGTAGTTGGGATTAAGGCAAAGAAAAAGATTACCAGAAATTCCGGTGGCAATTGACATAATATGATTGTTGTTTGGGAATGTACAATTTAGTGTTTAGTTGGGTATAAACAATATAGCGTCAAATCAATTACCTACTTTATCGGTTGTATATTAATATACACTACACTTAAATGATACTATAAATAAATAAACTCACACATACACACATATGCATTTATAACATTGCGTCTAATGTATAATATGATAAAAAGTAACCGTAAAATGAAAAAAATGGAATATAAATTTTATTACTCATATTAAATGTAATGTAACTCGAAAAATATTTGTTTAAATGAAAAAATATAAGATAATATTTTTATTTANATTAAATGAAAAAATATATGATAATTTTTTTGTTTATAATTGTCTTTTAGACAACTTTTGTACGAAACTTTTTTTGTGTAGGTTAAATATTTTTTGAGAAAATTAAAAAAGCTCATATTTTTGAACTTTTGCGAGACAGTAAAAAAAAGCTCATTTTCAATCAATGAGGTCTATTCAGTGGCGCACCCAAGGGGGGGGCTTTGGGGCTAAAGCCCCCCCCAAAAATATTTTTTGCATTAAATTATAAATTATTATAGCACATTGTCACAAATATAGTATTAAAATGATTTTTTTTCCAAATTTTATTATTATGTTAGATACATATTAATAGTTCAATAATACGTAATAAGGTTTGTGGCAATCGCCGAACGCTTATTTTGTTGAAAATTATTTTTAGATTTATTGGTATTAGCGTATTCTAATTTCTAAGAACTAGTCAGCAGCGATTACGTTAGATAGACAGCCGTCGATTTGATCATTAACTACAATAACAATATTTATCATAATTGTAGACTATTTGACGCGTGAAATTTCGTTTGTTTAATTCAGTCTGTTTGATTTTGTCGTTGTGAACGTTGTATTGAATACGTATTTACTACTTTGAGTAAAAATCTGCAAAATGAGTCAAAAACGAAGCAAACCCGCTGGTACTTTACTTAACTTTATCAGTATTAAACCGAAAATTCCAAAAATTAATGATTTGCCCAATCCTCAAGAAATATTTGCTTCGCCGTCACAAACATCTAATACTACTGGTAATTATGAAAATTTTTCTTCTTATGATATATCATTATTTGTCGATAAAAAACTCAACGACCAAGAAAAAATTCAAGTTTTGCAAAATTTTTTGGGTCCCGAATAATAATTTTAATTTTCCAATTCAACAAATTGGTAACCAAAGCAGAAAATTCAATATACTTTGGTTAACTAAATACAAATGGCTAACATATTCAAAAATTGAAGATAGTGCTTTTTGTAAAGTTTGCGTATTATTTTCACCTTCTATGGCGGGTTACAGTTCCAATCAATCACTTCATACATTTGTTAAAAAGGGATTCAATAATTGGAAAAAGGGCTTAGAAAAATTTGAAAACACGGTACTTTAAATTATCACAAGGAAGCTAATTTAAAAGCAGATAATTTTATGGATGTCATGTCAGGAAAAATTTTATCGATTGATAAACAAATCGATAAAGCTCATCACCATCAGGCTTTAGAAAATCAAGAAAAACTGAAACCGATAATAAAAACGATTATTTTGTGTGGAAGACAATGTCTGCCACTTAGGGCACATCGAGATTACGGAACGTTTAACGTAGAACAAGAACCTGAGTGCAACGAAGGTAATTTTCGAGCGTTGCTTAGGGCACGAATTGATTCTGGGGACAAAAATTTAAAACAACATTTAATGACTTGCGGAAAAAATTCAACGTATATTAGTTGGAATATTCAGAACCAAATAATTGATGCCTGTGATGAAATTATTTTATCTAAACTTGTAACTAAAGTTAATAGTGCTAAATGTTTTGCCGTACTCGCTGACGAAACGTCTGATATTTCCTCAATCGAACAATTCTCATTGTGTGTAAGATATATTGAGTGTATCGATGAAAACAATTTTAAAATAGTTGAACAATTTTTAAAATTTGTACCAGTAGAATCAACTTCGGGTCAAAATTTAGCAGATGTACTTTTAACAACATTAAATCCATGTGGTATCAACATAAATTATTTACGCGGACAAGACTACGATGGAGCTACAGCAATGAGTGGCAGATTTAAAGGTGTCCAAGCATGTATAACAGAAAAATATCCAACTGCACTCTATGTTCATTGTGTTTCACACAGCTTAAATTTGGCTTTATCTAATGCTGTTGATGTAATATCTATTAGGAATAGTTTTGGCGTAATAGAAAAAGTATACACGTTTTTTAATACACCAAAACGTCAAATTATTTTAAAAAATCAAATTCAAATTTTAGCTCCTGATATCAATAAAACTAAATTAGTGCAGTTTTGTCCAACTAGATGGGTTGAACGACACGATTCAATAATAGTATTCAATCAATTTTTATTACCTGTAGTGGCGGCTTTAGAAGAAATTCAATTGTGGAACTGTAAGGATTCATCATCTGGTGCATTTTTACTTTTAAATAGTATTCGCCAATCTACATTTATAATTTCATTACTTTGTTCAGAGAAATTATTAGCTTATACTTTACCAATAAGTAAAGTACTTCAAACGACAGATATAGATCTTTCTACTGCAGTTAACCAAGTAGGAAGTGTAGTGTCTATTCTCCATCGGCTTAGAAGTAACGCAGAAAATGAATTTAAGCTTTTATTTCTAGAAGCACAACAAATTGCCTCTAATTTAGACTTTACTCTATCCACACCTAGACTAACGAAACACCAAACTAAACGATGTAATGCACCATCAGAAAATATTGAAGAATACTATAGACGTTCAATTTTTGTTCCATGGATTGATTCATTTCTTAATAGTCTGTCTGATCGATTTTTAAAACACAAAAATCTTCTCACAAGTTTTAAATGTCTTTTACCTACCGGACATACTCCAACCGATGAACAAATTTCAAGTTTTAAAAATCTTTTTGTATTTTATGAAAAATATATGCAACATATTAGTTTTTCAGTCGCAAAGATCGAATTCGAATTGTGGTACGAAAAATTCAAAAATGGTTGCTATACTTTACCGCTAAACGCAATCGATGGTTTAAATTTATGTGATTTAAAAGTATTTGAATCAGTATTTATACTTTTGAAAATATTTGCAACGTTACCAGTAAGTACAAGTACGGCTGAGAGATCATTTTCCACGCTACGGCGAATCAAAACCTACCTCAGAAATACTATGGGACAGTCACGATTAAATGGACTGGCAAATCTTCACATACATCGAGAAATACAAATTAAAGAATCCGAAGTATTAGAAGTTCTATCTGAAAAGGGACCCAGAAAAATTAAATTTTAAACTAATTTGTCATAATATTTTATTGAAAATATTAAAAACAGTATACTATATAATTTGTGGTAGTAATAATAATAAAAATGTTTAAAAATGAGTAGTAATTGCTTTCTATTGTGTGCAAGGAAAATGTTTTAGCCCTCCCCAAAAAAAAATCCTGGGTGCGCGCCTGGGTCTATTAGTAGGTCATTATACATATTTTAATTCAACTATTAATAAAACAAAATTTTTTTCGCAATTTTTCCTTTGTTGACTGGCCTAGATGTCAATTTTAAACTTGTAATTGTGCTAAAAGTTATGATAATATATTCAATTTTTTTACTATAAACTTTCATAAATCTTTATCAAAAATTTTTCATCAACTTTAAAGAACCAAAAAAATAGGTTAAAAATGAAAATTTGGACTGATTATTTTTAACATATTAAAAAACAAATCAGTAATAATTTAAAAACAAATTTTTTTTTTCTTTTAATTATTATTTTGTATATAATTAGTAATAATATCAAAAATTAGAAGTGATAGAAAATGTCTACTTGCAGATTTGAAAACAACGCGAAAATTTGATTTAGAAAAGAATATTTTTGCGTCTGATGAAAGTTCCATGTAGTCCAGTTCATTTATTTATAGTAACAAACAGTAAATGTTTATAATAAAAAAAAATAATTTATTTTACCATAACTTTTAGCTCAATTGGCATCATTAAATAGAAAATTTTATGAGAATTAAAAAAATTGTATCGTTAAGATCAAAATGCAGTCAGAAAGTTTTATAATTACTATTTATTATAAATTTATCAGAAATGCTAAATATTTTTTTAAAATATAAAGCGTAATAGATGGGGCTCCCCATCTAAAATATTATAATAAAAAATATTGATAGTGCTTGTTCAAGGAGGGGCCAATCTTTCTTGAATACACCCCTGTTATACACAAAAATTATTAATAATCTAAATATAATAATTGTGTTTATATTATAGAATAATTAAAAAAAAATTTAGCAGGTTATTATTAGTGGCACACTGTCAATTTAAAATAAAATTAATATTAAAAATAAAAATAAAAATTTAATTTTGATAAATATATTAGTAACTGCGATTTAACGATTAACATCATAGTTATCATAGATGAATCCCAATTCAAAAGATAAACTCATAGTCTCATACATCATATATGAGAAAAAAGAAAACTATTAACTCTGTACTTAGTACTGTTCTTATAATGAAAGTAAAAAACTTAAATAATTATAACGTCATGAAAATTATATATAACATATAACATTTCTTGAAAATATAAGGCAAATGCAAAATAGTGTCCTAATAATAATACATAATACACCATATAATTAAGGTTCATAATAAACGTATCAGCAGAAAAGAANACATCCTAATATTAAAAAATGTAAAATATAATATCAAGAATTTTTTCAAAAAAATAGCATATTTTTGCATACGTTAGTCATTTTAACCATGAAGATAAATCCAGAGATCAAATTTCTTTTTTCAAATTAAAGTATATTACATAAGCTTATAAAGATACGTCAAATGACTACAATTCGTATGTAGTTGAAGATATTACCCTCAAAAATTGAAAAAAAATTTCAATTTATCAATTAAACAGTTAGTTATTCCATGTTCTCCATAAAGACAATTAAAATCATTCATTTCTAATGTTTTCAAAGTATTTATTGACGAATTAAGTTTGATATGATAGATTTCAACTACAAAATTTAATCATTTTACTTTGTAATTTAATAATTTTATTACTCTATTTGTGTGTGCTACTACTAGACTAAAATATTACAAATTTTTTTGTAACATGTTGCTATATAAATCATTTCATTTAGTTAAAGTAAATTATTAAAATTAATTAAGTTCTCAATATTTCAATAGTAAAGGCTTTTCTAAAAACAACATAAGTTACTAGGAAATTATTACTATTACTTCTATTTAAGTTATCTATTACCATAAATTTACAATAAATAGTAATTATAAAACTTTCTGACTGCATATTGATTTTAACGATACAATTTTTTTAATTGTCATAAAATTTTCTATTTAATTATGTCAATGTCAAACTTACCAATTGAGCTAAAAGTTATGGTAAAATAAATTTTTTTTTTTNATGTCAAACTTGCCAATTGAGCTAAAAGTTATGGTAAAATAATTTTTTTTTTTATTATAAACATTTACAACAATCAACTTTAAACGATTAAAAAAATAGGTTAAATATGTCATTTTCCTTATTTTTAACTTATTAATAATCAAAATCAGTATTAATTTAAAACAATTTTTTTTGTTCTTAATTATTTTTTTTTATATGTAAAAACTATTTTTTAATAATATTAAAACTTAGAAGTGATAGAAAAAGTCTAATTTCACATTTGGAAACATCGCGAAAAGTTGATTTAGAATAGTATATTTTTGTTTCTGATGAAAGTTCCGTGTAGTATAATGTATAAAACTTATAACTTTGTTAACTGTTATAACTTTATCAAAAATGACCAAATCAGTATATTTTTTTAGCTTCGATGCGAAGCTGAGAAGGTATTAATTTTACCATGATGTGTCTATTTATTTTTTTTTTTTTTGTATCTGTCACTACTTTTTCTCAGCTCTCACTGGACCGATTTCTTTCAACAATACGTCAAAAGATCACAAATCGTATCTAGTTGAAGACATTACCCTTAAAAATTGAAAAAAAATCCCTCGTTCTTCGAAAACGGGGGAAATCCCCCAAAAAATTACAAATTTAAAAATCGCTAATTTTCGATATTTTATCATTTTTTTTTACTTAAAATTGCTTAAAATTTTACTTAAAATTTGGAGGAAGACTCTCGCACCATTTACGGCGGGTCGTCGTCGGCCGTGCGGCATTTGCTGGACTTTGCACCGTAGCGTATAACACGCGGTGTTGGTCAGTCAAATACTCATAATAGGGCGACGGCTGATAAAGGTATAACGAACAATACGTGTATACGTCAAATGATTACAATTCGTATTTAGTTTAAGTTATTACTCTTGAAAATCGAAAAAATATTTCTTATTCAAATAAAAAGTAGCTTAACCAACTTTTTCCATACAAACAATTAAAATCATTAATTTCTAATATTCTTAAAGTATTTATTGTCGAATTAGATTTGATATGATAAAAGTTTTCAACTACAAAAGTAAATAATTTTACTTTGTAATTTATTAATTTTTTATCTCTATTTGTGTGTGCTACTACCAGTCTATAACATTCCAAATTATTTTGTAATATGTTGCTATATAAAATTATTTTTAGTTTCACCTGAATTTAACGATGGATTTTTACAATTATTTTCAAATATTATAATACGCTCAAATGAGTAAATTTTTTTTATTGGTTTTTTTAGTTATTAATCATTAAAATTAATAAAATTCTGAATATTTCCATTGTAGAATTTTTTTAAACACCAAAAGTTAATTAGAAATGATTACTATGATTTTTATTTAAGTGATCTAATACAATAAAAATGTAAAAAAAATCGAACTTTTCTGATAAATGTACTGTAAATAGTAATTATAAAATTTCCTGACTGCATATTAATCATAAAAATAGCATTGTTTTAATTCTCATAGAAGTGTCTATTTAATGATGTCAATTTGAAACTTGTAATTGAGCTATAAATTATGGTAACATATTCAATTTTTTTTACTATAAACTTTCACAAAAATTTTTCATAAACTTTAAAGAACCAAAAAAATAGGTTAAAAATGAAAATGTGGACTGATTATTTTTAACATATTAAAAATTAAATTAAAAATAATTTGAAAACAAATTTTTTTTCTTTTAATTATTATTATATGTAATTAGTAATAATATAAAATATAAAATCGAGAATTTTTTCACGGAAATCGTACGTTTTTCTTTAACTTTGATGACCGTTTTCACCACGAAGACAAGTCCAGAGGTCAAATTTTTTTTTTCAAATTAAATTATATTACATAAGCTTTAATTTAAGATATATATAAAAGTGTCAGTCTTTCCGGAACATTTTCAAAAGTTAAGTTGAAAAAGTTCTACTTTCTATACGCATTTTAAAAGGTTTGCACCCCCCCTGTATAAAGGGAAATGGTCCGATTTTAAANTTCCTGTATAAAGGGAAAAAGTCCGATTTAAAAAAAAAGGACGTCGAATAAAAGAGGTTTATATAAAGTATTTATTGTTAAAAAATAGAATTGATTCATGCATTTTTTAAAAAGTTATACTATCATAATGTTAAAAAACGGTAGCACAGTGGGGTCGAGGCACAGTGTGGACGAGGCATAGATGGGACAAGTATAGATGATATCTGACAGTGATTAAAATCACTATCATAAGAAACGCTTCGATGCAAATCTGTAGATAGTGTTTCCTTTAGAGAAATTGGTGAAATATTTTAAAAGCAACATGAACTCTTATTTCTTTAATTATATCCTGATTAGTAGTTCTTTGATTTTAAAATATAATATATGAATAAATACTAATTATAGTTTTTAAATTTAGTATGAAATTGTGAGGCCAGCTATGATGTATGGTTCATAGTGTTGGGCGGTTGATAAGAAAGTAGAGCAGAGAATAAGTGTAGCAGAGATGAGAATGCTTAGTTGGATGAGTGGAGTGACTAGAGAAGATAGGATAAGGAACGAGCATATAAGAGGAAGTATAGGTGTTGTGTAAATCGTGGATAAGATGACAGAAAATAGACTTAGATTGTTTAGTCATGGTATGAGG